CTCAAAAACTGCGTCCCCTTCGTATTTGTGATTTGACCCATAGGGTTTAGTCTTTCGAGAAAAGGAGTTGGATTTCGACGACACATATTTGGGTGTGCAGCGCAGATTTCAGTGCACTTCATGACTGCGACAAATTTGTTTAGCCCCTTAAACTGGATTATTAAATTTCGACTCTCCTAAATTTCGCCCGTATTTCACCGAAGATAGTTGTTTTATTTGGTATCTGGTATTTTCTGAGAAAAATAAAAAATCCCACCAGGCGACAACTGTAATAAAGGTTTCTTTTGTTAAAATGGGGGTGTTGTAGTTTGTTCTCTAATAAACATCGGTCCCATTTAACAGCAGTACACAGAACTTGGCCATTTGCACATGTTTGTTGGGATTTTGAAGTTTATTATTCATTTATCATCAGTGGCTGTTTGTGCCACAAGAAGGACCCGTGTGAATTACTATATGGGACTGTGTGTGAATGAGAAAGGCCGAAAACAAAGAAGGCAATTATTAAAATTTGTCTGGATCAGCTCGACTGCATGTCGTTTGTGGGTCTTAATGCGAGCTGCAAAATTTATCGTTGTAAACAGAGCAGTCGAGATTCAGGGAACAGATTCTCAAGAAATGAGTCGTGACTGAATTTCAAATCTTTTAACTAGATTTAACGTTCTATGACTTAATTTTATCGCATTTTTGCCCCATTTGAGAACAAGCAGAAGAACAAATTTTCTCCCTAAATTCCCTCGAGATTATCCAATAAAAGAATAAATGGTAGAAAGACTCTGGATTTACGCTAGCATATTTTAACAGTTTTCTTAATCTGTCGAGAACACCAAGACCATCAGCGCCAGCAAAATAGCACATCCTGCTCATTGGAATTACTTTCTGTCTTGATTGTAATAAAGCCTCTACAAGTTTATCTTATAACGGAGAGTTCGTCTGCATATGTAGACGCGTCGAGCATCTTTCGCTCTATCACCTCTCCGTCACAGCCAGCGCTCGTTACGAAAGATGTAAGTGACCACGTTTCGCATCCTTATATCATCCTTTTATCAAAATTGTACTAAAGGAAGGGATACGATTCTTTCGGTTGGGCAGTTTGAGGACATCAGCGACGCAGTAAAATATACGCCAACCGAAAGCCCTTCTATGTGCAATCTTTGGTTTCCTTTTTCAAAAATTAGGATTTTTTTTAATTTTTTTGCGAAATGGTTTTTCTTAAGAAGATTGAACATTTCACCTTTTGAGCATTTCGATATCAGTCCACAGATAAGGTGATTTCTCGAAACTCCATCAACAGTAATTATACATAATCTGAAAACGATAAGCGATACGAAAATGTAGCATTCGTCTTTTTGGACGAAAAATGTTCGCAAAAACGCACATTTTTCAAACGTGATTACTTTGTTATCCGTTTCCGATTCCTTATTCGCTTAAAATCTGCTCAAATCCCCGATGTTCTTGTTATTTTCATTGTTCTCGGATAAGAATTGCTGCTACAATTGCTGGATTTTTGACATCGATTATAAGTGGTTACTCAAAAAATTACCTTAGTATAACACAATAGCCCTATAAAAGCAGGTTTTATCCAAGTCATTTGGTCGGTCTTTTGGAGAAAAATCAACCTCTTTCACAAATGTTTGAATTATTTTGATGGTAGATTGGAACAAGTGCCTTAATTATTGCTGATAATGCAATTTAGTTTCGATCTGTATCCTCAAAAAGACCATCGGAAGGGTGAGTTACCGAAATTTTACTTGGCAGCAAGAGACTGTAAGTGTAAAAATGCAATTTCTCAACCCTCCACTTGCTTCAATGGAAAATGGAAGAGAACGCAGGAAGGACGGAGCGAGCAGAAGAGTTTCTTAACTTTGATAACCTTATCGAGTTTGAGAAAAATACCTAAAATACTCTTTTTTTTACCTAAATCGACTTCAATTTGTTACCTCAAAGCAACCCTCCCAAGAAACAACCAAAAATCTTTTTATCCCAGCAGGCGGTTGCACCGGCAAGTGCAATCACTCGAATTTCCGCCTTTGACGAAAGTCAGAATAAGGAGAGAAGGGGAGGACTGGAGAGGAGGGGTGCGTAACTTCGACAATTTCAACAGTTTTTGGAAATTTTTCTTTTTCAAACCGATTTTGGCTTACATACCTAGAGAAGCTCTCGGAAGAGAAATTTTTCAGATTCTTTTTTTCGGCATACGATTGCGGCTGAAAATAGTTTCTTCATTCAGGTCTTCGTCTCAGGGAAGCGAATGGAGAGATAGGATAAGGGAAGAAAGGAAGGAGACGTTTAACTTTGAGAATCTTCTACATTTTG